AAATGTAAAAAGTGAATGAGGAGGAGGAGGAGGACAGTCACCTCTCCATCAGTCAGTCTTAGACAAACCAAACCTCCATGTGTGTACCAGGAGGATCTGGACCTGGAACCAGAACTGATGACTGAACTGATTCTGATGGAACAGATCATCAGTTTGATTTTCCCGCCTGTGGTGCAGAACATCTCCTGACAAATGAAGCAAAATAAAGACAAGAAGACTCAGATTGTCTCAGCGGGACAGATCTGACCCTGGTCCTGTTTCTAGCAGAGCCTCAGCCGAGGCTTTAAGCTCCTGGAAGCGTCGGGTCGACAAGTGGAGGCTTAACGAGGCTCCGTCAGGCTGAGAGGACGTAAAGCTGCTGATCCAGGATCAGTCTGCGTTAGGCTCTTATGTAACCAAACTACGGTTGATTTCTGTCCTTATCGGCTCACCGCTTTGATCCCGCCGCTCGCCTCTTTGATCCCGCCGCTCGCCTCTTTGATCCCGCCGCTCGCCTCTTTGATCCCGCCGCTCGCCTCTTTGAAGGGTTTCGGTTTAACGGGAAAGGATGGAGGCTCGTTAAGGCTCGTCTGATTCTGAGGATGATGATGGACGTTAATCAGCTTCCTCTTCCTCCTGCAGCTCTGTCCTGGAAATGAGACACCCGTCTAAATAAAAAGTTCTCAGCTTTTTTCAGCTAATTATTTATTTAATCATTTCTGACTTTCGGCTACTTGAAGCTTTCGGCTTGTTTAGGACACCTGTATGACATTTAGTCTTTCTCACATTTATATTTTTAAAATACGTCACTCCTTTAGTTTCTTTGAAATAAATTAATTTTAGCTTTTAGCTGCTGTTTGGATCATTTTAGCTGTTCTGCTCTTTCTAAACAGCTTTAAAGCTTTTAGCTTTCGTTCTGCTAATTTTAGCTAATAGACGACTTTATTTCCAGGGTTTGATCCAAACGTCAAAAACTTCTTATAAAATCTTTTTAGTCCCATCAGACATGAAGGGGGCGGGGCTTAGGACTTCAGCTTCAAGTTCAGCTTCGGTCCGATGCAGCAATTAAAAGATAACGAGAGGTTCTTATCGGCCCACAACGAGCTGACGGACTGGACCTGAGATGAAGATGATGATGATGATGATTGGTTCTGTTCTGCTCAGTTTGGTTCTGAGGGAAACAAACGATCCGAATCCGTCATCTAACCGGATCTCAGCCGTAAACTGGAACAAGAACCTGTTTCAGGTCCGTCCCAAAGATGCTGGGTCCAGATCCAGTTCTGAGCCGGTCCAGAACACTGGCCCTCCAGCTTTAACCTGGTTTGGATCGGTTCTGGTTCTGTCTTGAGAAACAGAACTGTGAGGAAGAGGAGGAGGATGTTTCTGTGTTCCCCTCCCCCTCTGAGTAGATCCAGCAGAATCTTCTGGTTCTGGTCCGACAGGAGGAGCTGTCAGCGGGTCTTAAGGAACAAGAAGCAGTTTGTTACGTAACGGACTTTTCTAAAACCCGAGTGGCTTTGATCAGAACTTTTTAAGGTTCTGTCTGTGCTTACGTAACGTTACAGTTTATAACGTGACCCTGAACACATCCTGGAGGTTCACGCAGGTCCCTGAAGGCATCGTGAAGAGTTCTGTCTCAGAGGAACACAAGTTGGACCCAGCAGGAAGTGATGTCATCAGATGACTGACAGCTGGGTTGTTTACTGTGTGAGAAACCAGGATTTTCAGCTTCTCTCAGAGGGGCTTAAGCTGCGATGAGCCGAAGGACGCTGACAGTAATACCTCCTTAATGTGGATCAGAACCAAAGCTCCGCGGGCCAGAACCCCTCCGAAGGTTCTGGGAGTTTCCTGCTCGACTTTAAAGTTTCACAACAAACAGGAAACGGTTCTGAATCAGAAACACGTCAGATTAAATCACAGCTGATCTGTTCGTGTGCGGAGGATCAGGATTGATGCTGCTGTCACTTCCTGTCACCTCCTGTCACTTCCTGTCACCTCCTGCAGCAGCTGAGACAATTTAAGCTGCAGAAACTTTATCGGCCCATTGCTTCCATTTTTTGAGGTTCTCTGTCGACGGGTCGGTCAAAAACACGACGGGAGCCGTTCTTGTTTTTTTTATTTTTAAATAAAGCCATGGACATAACAGACGCAGGTACATGTGGGACATGTCTCCTGCACTTCCTGTATCTGTGCGCTCTGTCCCTCGCACTTTTTTCATCATTCCAACTAATCTGTTACTACAAGACGGCAGCGTATTTTTCCAAACCGTCTTTAAACGCACCACGAGCTAACGCTGGTGTTTACTTGCTGCTGCACAGCTACACCGTGTGGCTCAGAAACCAGCTAGAACCAGCAAAAAACTAAAAACTGCACAGTTTTCGCCAAACAAACCATGTAGTCAGGCTGTTAGAAGTGTTTCATGTTAGTTAAATGATGGAGTTAATACAGGTCATAAGTATTAAAAGTAAAAGTACTGAGTAAAAGTGAGCAGTTAGATTTTACAAAATGACATTTATTGGGAGGTGACTTCTCCAAAAACTATATTTTCTAACAGCGTGCAGCTGTGATGGGTTGTGTACAAGCTAATAGTGTGTCAGAATGGTATATATTTATACTTCTCATCCAAACACAGTTAAATTCACTCTATAGGAGACAGTTTATCAGGAGAGGATTTATTAAATAGGAGTAACCACTTTCTACTTCTTACCTTTTTAAAAATGTAGTGAGTAGAAAGTACAGATAAGTGTGTAAAAATGTAATGAGTAAAAGTAAAAAGTACACTGAAAAATAATTACTCAAGTAAAGTACAGATAACCAAATTTTCTACTTAAGTACAGTAACAAAGTATTTGTACTTAGTTACTTTACAACTCTGGATAAACCCAATCCTTTTTAGTTCAGTGCAGAAGTTGTGCTCCCCTGCCGTCCACATATTTAAGATAAATCTTTAATTTCACTATAAAAGGAGCAAAGTCAGGAAGGAGACATGAGCAGATCCAGCAGCAGGAACATGATGATGCAGAGTCTTCTCAGGGAAGGACATCATTTCAGCATCAAAACATTTTTATTTCCAGAGTTGTAAAGTAACTAAGTACAAATACTTCTGTACTGTACTTAAGTATCATTTTTGTGTGTCTGTACTTTACTTGAGTAATTATTTTCAGCGTACTTTTTACGTCTTACAAGTACAACAAATATCAGATACTTTAAGACTTTTACTCAAGTAATATTCCTAAAGGAGACTAACTTTTACCAAAGTAAGTTTTTGGTAAGATACTTGTACTTTTACTCAAGTATCACTTTGTGGTACTTTATAAACACTGTTAATTTCATTACTGTTTCCACTTCGGTTCAAAATAAAAATGGATGTGATAATATTATTTTGTAATGTAGTTAATTGAGAGAAGATTGATTGTTTTAGTTTAAAAGAAAAAAAACTGACATGAATGTTTAAAGATGTAGTTTATATTTAAACATTGTTTTTTGTTAATTATTTATTTTCAAACTTTTGCATTATTTATTTTTGTTAAAGGCAGCAGGTATAAGACATGTCAGTTTTCTTTAACTTGATAATTTTGCATAATTCATGTTCTCACATTTAAATAAATGTC